AAAAAAAAAAAAAAAAAAAAAAAGTTACTAGCTTTCATTTCTCTCATTGAAATTCTTTAAATATCCTCCCTTTAGACTAAAGAAATAAATATTTTTTATGATGAGGGTACTTTCCATATTTTCAAGCTTGATCTTCATATTCTGATGAGTGAGATTTTTTAACTTAACTATTCCCTAGTGCTTAAATTGCCCTGAAAAATTTTCCAGCCCCAAACAGTCATTTTGGCTGAACTTTATTTCTTGCTTTAAGACCTTTTATAATGTAGTAGCACGAATGCTTTGATTATGCTTAGCTGCTGAGATACAAGCCCAAGTGAGATGCTAAGTTCCATTCTTACGTATGTCCTTGATCTGGAAGTTCTAAAAGCCTTTAACCAAGTACTTCACCACCTTAGTCTAGCTATGAGAATTCCTTTACATCTTTGTTTCTGAACTTCTGTGAAGACAAACAGATCAAGAATAGCAAGCACACTGTGTGCATTGAAGTTTGGAATAACGGGCCCAGTCCTGCTTAACGGTTGCTGGATACTAGGAAGTAAGATGCATTTCTTCACTGAGAACTAGGAGTCTTGGCACCACTGAAACGTGTAAGTGAATATGCTGATCCGCAAGCACTCCACGTCAGATAAGCAGGAAAGTGAAGACGGGTACTGGTAGAGTTGGGACAACAGGAGAAAAGAAGTTCAATAAATATGTTCCACACCAATCTATACAAACTTAAAAAGAATTTAAATAAGTCTCAAAGAAGTTTAAAATGATGTCAGTGTGACACTGACAGCTTTGCTTCATGCTATGACTGCCCTTCTTTCTATGCTAGACCAGTCATTGTCTCAGTTTATTGGTTACAGGTGTGCTATGAGCTATGTAAAATGGAAAAAGGAAAATGATGAATTTAAGGTCTGTGGACAAAACTATCTCCACCACCAGCGTGTTGTCAGTGAGAAACATTGCACAGATGACCCAGAACTTTAGGGCAGATACCCACATAAAGGACAGTGAAAATGGATCCAGTTACGAGCCATTCTCCACACTTTCTTGAGTGCTGACTTTTGAAGCCCTCTCCTCTGGCTGTGTACAGAAATTCTGCAGTTGCATTCTTTGGAAACAGAAGTACTTTTCTATTCTGAGTTTGTGGGCACAAACAGTCATACAAGGACACAGGTTATTCTCTTTCCTATGAAGAAAAAGATGAGAAGAAACAATTTGAGGTTCAGCATGGAGGCAGTTAAGTTATATTTTAGGGAAGATTTTCCTGACAGTGAGGATTCATGGTGTAAAATAGGGTTTTAGAGGAGCTGCAGGAAGACAATGACAGTAGATGTTTCATCATCTGGAACGCTGTAGCTGCAGTGCTCCTGAAGGGGAAGGGGAAAGGGAATGGATACCCAGGCGCAGGGCAGCCATCTGCAGTCACAAGCGAAACCCAAAGCAAGCAGTCTTCTGAAACAGTTCATGATTGGAAGCTGGGGGCCAAACCTACTGCTGTTCTGGGGTTTATGATTGCTCTCACAGACACTAACATGCGCACAGCAAGTATCATTAAAAATGTTGTATTTGAATATAGAAGATTTCCAGGAATAGCTGATGTTAAAGTTTATCACATTAAATAGAATGAGCCCCATGAAATATGTAGTTGATATTGGGGGCAAAGGGCGGGCCCACTGTGATTTACAGGGTTCTGTTCTATTGAGCCACCAGCAGAGGGCTCTAGCTCTGATGTCCTCAGTTATTTCCCTGAATTTCAAATTCTGTAAGATTTCTGTTGGTAACGTTTCTTTGCTGCCTTTGAAATCATAGCTTGGTGGTCTTGCCCTTTCCTATTTCATGGATTTGCTTTCTCCATTTGTTTTTAGTTGATTAGGAAATTGCTGAAGACAGAAATTCTCCCTGTCCCATAAATATCTCCCAAGTTACACAGCATGAGGAAAGAGCTGCTATTTGTTTAGTTCACCGACTTGGGGACTTTTTGCAAATTAAAGGATTTGAAAGGATCTAATATGGCTATATCATCAGATAAATGGTGAGGGTCAAGCTCTCCCCTTGGGGTTTTCATTGAACTTAGTGTAATAGAAGGTGTACTGGAGCATCCAAGGACAGGAATTAGCCCTTTCTTAGTAACCAGATGCCGCAGTGTGGAGGATGAGCCTCACTTCTGAGTGGGCAGCCTTGCTTTGTATTTCAGAATTTCAAACTGTTATGCTCCACTGTGCAACATGGTTTCACCTCCTAGCAGAGTTTAGAAAGGGAATTGCTGTTTTTATTGGTGCTCTGTCACGTGTTGCCTTACTGAAACGTGGTGGGTTTTTGAGACATAGCTGGATTTCACGGTAATATTTAAAACAGATAAAATTTAGTAAGTCTGATGAACCAAAAAGCTTGTTGCACACTGTCTGTAGTCCCAAGTCTGCATCAGTTTTCTTTTTTTTTTTTTTTTTTTTTTGTGTGTGTGTGTGTGTGTTCTTTTTTGAAAATGGAAAAAGTTCTCAGTAAAAAGAAGTTGAAATTTAGTTAGAAACAAAGTTGCACATTTAGTAAGCCACAAAGCAGGCAAAAGCATCTTCAGAAGTCCTTATTTCTGGTTGCTAGTGGGAGAAACTACGAGAACTCAAGAAATGTCATGACTGGACTGGAGAAGTGGTTCCTACGGAGTTAGCCATGTTTTGAACAATGGCAGCTCACTGATAGACCACCTACTATATGAAAATAATATTATCCAAAGCCCCACAGCCTTTTTTAATTGCAACTCTGCCAGTAGAAACATTTGAAATTTAATTTTCTCTACAAAGCCTCTATCTGGAGAAACTCAAACAATTTAGCTGTGTTTCCTTCCTAGAAATATCTTATTGTTGTTTTGCTTTTATACATTTAAGCTTGCTTTCAATAAGATAACCTGTACAAAGCATCATAGAAAAGGGCTGGCGTGATAGCTCAGTGAACTAAGTGCTTGCTTAGGAAAGTGCAGGGGCCAGAGTTCGATCCCTGGCAGTACGCAATGGCCCCGCCTCCTGGGCAGGCTGAGCCAGTGATGGAGTTGGGTGTGGTGGTGCATGACTGTTATTCCAGCACTAGGGAGGCTGAAAACAGGAGGATCACTATGATCCTAGTTGCATGGTGGGACATTGCACACACACACACACACACACACACACACACACACACACAAATTCCCGACAAAACATCATAGCAGTATGTTTGCATCATACTGTCATACCAGACTTTTGTACTGTTTTCTATTATACTTGACTATTACCTAGTTGGTACATTATTGATCATGCTATTATTTTTGTCTCTGTTAATCAGCATATATTTATTGTATTTGTACTAAAGGACCAATATTTTATCAGTTATATAGATGTGTAAAACAAGAAACTGAAAGTGTAGTCCCTGTGAAGAAAAGTAATGGATGTGAAACATTTGATAAGTAGCTACGGGGGTGAATACAGTGCAATGAAATTTTGGAAACAAGAAAAGGTAGAGAAGGCTGGAATGAGTAGAAAGAAAAGATTCAGGACAAAAGCCAAACTTGGAAACAATGGGCGAATTTAGAGGCAGAAACGATGCGTGGTGTAATCCAAGGTTTAGACTAACACACAAACTTCTCAACAACTGTTAAGTATCCAGAAGTTACATGAACAAACATGAACAAATGAAAAACAAAACAGTTAGATTAAGAAAAAATACTTAGCAGGTACTATTGTGTTTCAGTTCTTATAACTAAGACTTACAAGGAATTATCCCCACTTTACAGAAAAAGAAACTGAGATTAAGAAAAACCAATGGCATATTTGGTTATAAACCTTAATCTCTATACTTAAATCACTCTATTTGCCCCTTGCCCACCAATACCCCCTTCTTTTCTGAACATTTGCCACATATTATTGAATACTCACACTATACTGTGATCTTTGATTTAGGAAACCTTCATTCATTTAACTTGGGGGGGGGAAATGCAGACATGGTAAAGGACCCCACCTGACAGCCTCAAGGGTCAGAACAGGAAGCCTGAGGGGTTCATGTGCTTCTGGGATTATAGAAAGAGGTGGGAACAGGGCTGATCAGGGGGATATGGAGCTTAAAGGGTGATTTAGAACCGGGCTACATTTTGACAGATTTTATATCAACCTGAAATGGTGGCCAACATTGGAATTTATGAACCTTAGTAA